AAAAAATGATTGCCATTTTAACATATTTCCTTACTAGGGTGACAACAGACTCTCAGTATTCTATCTATAGATAAGCAGTGTTGTTAAGTTAGAGACAAACTACAGAACACCTCCCCTCAATTCTTCTCCAATACACAGTAGGGAGGTATTCGATAGTCCACAGCGATAGCTGAAAAAATTTCATTGATACCAGTCAGCAGAGGCTGAGAGTAGGAAGTTATCAGGAGCCAGCAGAGAGCAGGAATATGTAAACTCAAAAGATTTCTGTCAGGATCAACAGGAATGTTTTTTTCACATATCAACTACAGAGAAGTTCATTGTTAAGCCAGCCATACATGGGTCAAATTCTGAAAGAATTTTCTTTTTCAAAAATCTGTTCTAAGAATTTTAGTTCAAATTTTGCACCATTAGTGGGTCACAGAAATGGCCAATTTTCGCGTGACCATCAAATTTAAGTGATCGGGCATTTTGGAAATTTTTTTAAAACAAACAAACGAATTTCAAATCAATGATGGGAGAATCGTACAGGAAATATAACCGAAAAAGAAATGAGCATGAGCTGTGACCTGGAAAGAAAAGAAAATTAATAGCCACAAAAATTCTTTTCTGTAGCAACATGAGGTTAAATTGAAGGCTTGGTTGGTTGAATTTTGAAATCAATGGTGTCACCATTGGATTACAAAATGCACAAAATTTCCCATTTTCTAAGGAAAATTAGTTCAGAATTCTACCCATGTATGGCCTGCATTAGTGTTTACATTCCTTTCTGGCTTTCTGTCTTCATTTAGAATGAGCTAGCAGTAAAATTTAGTTGGCGGTGTATGAAAAGTGGCTTGTTGTTCTTGCCATGTGGCCATATCCACAGTGGGCTGCATTGATGGTACTTTTGTGTTTGATCTCTTTTGATAGGGTGAGAATGAGCTCATCATTTGGTTTCATCATACTTTTTTCAGCCATAGACTCTGAAAGTAGAATACAAATTCAATAAAATACACACAGAAAGGAGATGTTAACATGTCCGCCACACCTTGTCCTTAAATGCCCTGACCTTTACAAGCCATACTCTTGATTGTTCAATATTATGCTACTATGTGAAATATCAGTCTATGTTTTGAAACAAATGTTAAAATGCACTGTAATTCACAGGATTTACTGTACACGATGGAGAAAACTGCCTACACTATTTCAAAATAGAAACGTGTGATAGCAAGAATGTATGAATAGAAGTAGGAATAAATGGGGGAGGATAGAGATTGGATGATGGGGTAATATGTATGGATAAAAGGGGGGGGGGGGTGAGGGAATATGGAGGTGAAACTGAGTGGACAGAAAGAGCGATGGTGACATCAATGGATAGTGGAGGAAGCAGTAAAAATACCAGCAGGTGATATTGCATTTTAATAATGACTTAGATGTGGCACTCAAAAGTGATCTCAGATAAATATTGTATTTTCACAATCATAGGCCTCCCTCGATTCCTTCCAGGGAGATTAAAGATTGCCAATTCTGACCCCTGTTTCGGCAGAATAAGTTTTGCCTTGCAGCATTCCTTATCACTAGGGCTGTAAATTTTTTTCGGAACTCCAACTAATGACAGATCCGCCTCTGCCATTTTGGAAAGCGTTCCAACATTTTTGCGCAGCTAAGGAAAATGGACACCTTCACTTCCTCCTTTAACTGAGTTTGAAAAGCTATGCATCTCATCCTCCCCGATTCGACATGGCCTGTCCTTATCCTATAAACCACTTTTTCACCCACCGGACCATGTAGACCCACCCCATATTGCACAATTGGAGTAAAACTTGGGCACCAGGTTTTCTGAAAAACAGAAAACATGCATGATGCATTTTGCTCACACCGCATCTCTTTCCAGCTCTATCCAAGAAACGGGTTTCAAAATCTTAACACGCTGGTTTAGGGTCTCTTCTATTCTACACAAAATGTTTCCCTATGCTGACGCTGCTCCCAGCATGAGGCTACATACCTCAATATATATTCTGGAGTTACCCGGGTCTGAAACCCCATGTCAGGGCTCCCGGGTATGACCAGAGGTGTGTGACTGACGCAGGGAAACGCAGACTTCAGATATGTTATAAACAATATAATTTATTAACACTAACAATACAAACATAAACGTAGTGCAATACTAAAACATAACACAGTGCAAACAAACCCAACCAACCACCCACAGATAACAGTACATACAATGCAAGCGTCGTCAGGCAGGCTGGGTCAATATCAATCGGGCAGGGAGGTACAGGGGGAGCAAGCGGAGAATGGTCGGGGTCACAGGCCAGGTTCAGCAGGTAGCGGGCAGCGTGGTACAGAGGGTCAGGCAGAGGGATGGTCAGGGTCACAAGCCAGGGATCAGAACAGGAGAAGTCAGCAGAGGTCAGAATCAAGCAGGGTCAGCAACAAGACAGGAACAGGAACGCAGGTTTACAAGATACAGGGCCCAGGAAAAACACACACCAAGGCAGAGTCTGCAGGTCTGGCCATCCCTTAAATACACCAGTATAATTAGTTCCAGGTGTTTGACTGGCTGCAAGGTTGAGTCTCTGATTGCTGGGAGCACCCGCTGGCCAGCCCTGGTACTGCAGCTCATAAGGCAGGTGAGTCCCACTTTTGCTGGCCAGTCCATTCCTGACAGTACCCCCCCCTCAAGGAGCGGCCTCAGGACGCTCCAAACAGTCCTAGCTGGGCAAAATGTTCCACCGCCCGGGTCTGGTAACTGGGGATATCAAAGACTGGCACACCGGGCAGGACTCCGAGCAGCGGCACACCGGGCAGGACTCCGGGCAGCGGCACACCGGGCAGGGGCACACCAGGCAGAGGCACACCGGGCAGGGGCACACCGGGCAGAGGCACATCGGGCTGGACTCCGGGCAGAGGCACATCGGGCTGGACTCCGGGCAGAGGCACATCGGGCTGGACTCCGGGCAGAGGCACATCGGGCTGGACTCCGGGCAGAGGCACATCGGGCTGGACTCCGGGCAGAGGCACATCGGGCTGGACTCCGGGCAGAGGCACATCGGGCTGGACTCCGGGCAGAGGCACTCCGGGCAGAGGCACATCGGGCTGGACTCCGGGCAGAGGCACATCGGGCTGGACTCCGGGCAGAGGCACATCGGGCTGGACTCCGGGCAGAGGCACATCGGGCTGGACTCCGGGCAGAGGCACATCGGGCTGGACTCCGGGCAGAGGCACATCGGGCTCGGGGACTCCGGGCAGAGGCACATCGGATTACCAGATGAAGCAGCAGGCAGCGGGCCACCAGGCGGAGCAGCAGGCACCGGGTCACCAGGCGGAGCAGCAGGCAGCGGGCCACCGGGCGGAGCAGCAGGCAGCGGGCCACCGGGTGGAGCAGCAGGCACCGGGGCCACCAGGCGGAGCAGCAGGCACCGGGCCACCAGGCGGGAGCAGCAGGCACCGGGCCACCCCGGCGGAGCAGCAGACACCGGGCCCCCAGGCGGGGGGCGACAGGCATCGGGCCCCCAGGCGGGGCGACAGGCACCGGGCCCCCCGGCGGGGCGACAGGCACCGGGCCCCCCGGCGGGGCGACAGGCATCGGGCCCCCAAGCGGAGCGGCGGGCGGGCGCCGGGCCCCCAGGAGGGGCGACAGGCATCGGGCCCCCAGGCGAAGCGACAGGCATCGGGCCCCCAGGAGGGGCGACAGGCATCGGGCCCCCAGGCGGGGCGACAGGCATCGGGCCCCCAGGCGGGGCGACAGGCATCGGGCCCCCAGGCGGGGCGACAGGCATCGGGCCCCCAGGCGGGGCGACAGGCATCGGGCCCCCAGGCGGGCGCGGCGGGCACTCGGGCCCCCAGGCGGGGCGAGGCATCGGACCCCCAGGCGGAGCGATAGGTCTCGGGCCCCCAGGCGGAGCGGCGGGCGCCGGCCCCCAGGCGGAGCGACAGGTCTCAGGCCCCCAGGCGGAGCGACAGGTCTCGGGCCCCCAGGCGGAGCGACAGGTCTCGGCCCCCAGGCGGAGCGACAGGTCTCGGGCCCCCAGGCGGAGCGACAGGTCTCGGGCCCCCAGGCGGAGCGGCGGGTCTCGGACCCCCAGGCGGAGCGACAGGGTCTCAGGCCCCCAGGCGGAGCGACAGGTCTCAGGCCCCCAGGCGGAGCGACAGGTCTCAGGCCCCCCGGGCGGAGCGACAGGTCTCAGGCCCCCAGGCGGAGCGACAGGTCTCGGGCCCCCAGGCGGAGCGACAGGTCTCAGGCCCCCAGGCGGAGCGACAGGTCTCAGGCCCCCAGGCGGAGCGACAGGTCTCGGGCCCCCAGGCGGAGCGGCGGGGCGCCGGACCCCCAGGCGGAGCGCGGGCGCCGGACCCCCAGGCGGAGCGGCGGGCGCCGGACCCCCAGGCGGATGACAGTCTCGGTCCCCCAGGCGGAGCTGCGGGCACCGAGTCAACTGGCAAGACTGCGGGCACCGAGCCAACTGGCGGAACAGCGGGCTTCGAGTCGTCTGGCAAGACTGCGGGCACCGAGTCGTCTGGCAAGACTGCAGGCACCGAGTCGTCTGGCAAGACTGCGGGCACCGAGTCGTCTGGCAAGACTGCGGGCACCGAGTCAACTGGCGGAACAGCGGGCATCGAGTCAACTGGCGGAACAGCGGGCTTCGAGTCGTCTGGCAAGACTGCGGGCACCGAGTCGTCTGGCAAGACTGCGGGCACCGAGTCGTCTGGCAAGACTGCGGGCACCGAGTCGTCTGGCAAGACAGCGGGCATCGAGTCAACTGGCGGAACAGTGGGCACCGAGTCGTCTGGCAAGACTGCGGGCACCGAGTCGTCTGGCAAGACTGCGGGCACCGAGTCGCCTGGCAAGACTGCGGGCACCGAGTCGTCTGGCAAGACTGCGGGCACCGAGTCGTCTGGCAAGACTGCGGGCACCGAGTCACCTGGCGGAACAGCGGGCACCGAGTCAACTGGCGGAACAGCGGGCACCGAGCCGTCTGGCAAGACTGTGGGCACCGAGTCGTCTGGCAAGACCGTGGGCACCGAGTCGTCTGGCATTGGATCGTCTGGCTCGACAGCGGGCATCGGGTCACCAGGTATGACAGCGGGCACTGGGTCACCAGGCATCAGGTCATTTGGCTCGCCAGCGGGCACCGCGTCAATTGGCACGACAGCGGGCACCGGATCAGGTACCGGATCATCTGGATCAACAGCGGGCATCGAGTCAACTGGCCTAATAGGATCATCAGGCTGGATCAGTTCATTATGCTGGGTAGAGGCTTCCGGCTGAGTAGAGAGGCTTCAGGCTGAGTAGAGGCTTCAGGCTGAGTAGAGGCTTCAGGCTGAGTAGAGGCATCAGGCTGAAGAGAGGCATCAGGCTGAAGAGAGGCATCAGGCTGAACCACGGAAGGCAGGTTCTCAGACGGCAGACTGACCGGTTTGGATACTGGCAGGATGGTATTGGTTGGAAAGAATTTTCGCTTTTTTCTGGTTTTAACTACTGGAGCACTGCAAGTAAACGCAGGTCTGCAAACGAATGGAGCAGCTGGAGACAGAGAAGAGCTGGAGGATGGAACAGAGGAGGGAGCAGTTGCTACAGAGGGCTTTTTTACAGGGTTAAAGGCAGGATAGGTGCAGCGAGTGGGAACAGGGTACTGACATGCGGTTGATAGCAGGGCAGGAGGAGCTGTTGGGAATGCAGGAATAGAGCTTTGAGGAAATAGATTAGAAGCAGGACTGGGTTTTTGTAAGCTGACTGAGGCTGGGTGCAACAAGTCTGACCATGTCTGCAGTATGGGTTGAACGAAGCTCAGTTTACACAAAGCCTGTCTGACCAAAGACTGCACTGCGTTTATACAATCTCTTAGTGTCTGTGGTGAACATGCAGCATAATGCTCCAAGAAGCAATCCACATCATCCTCTAATAACCACACCAGGGACTCTACCTGGTCGGCACTAAATGGCGGCAAAAATTCATCCCTGCATTCGGGGGTACCAGATGAAACCAACTCCGCACAAATCTGAATCAATGGCTGCACCTCAGAGAATTCTGTGCCCTGATCTACTAGAACATGAGCGAGCCGTATACATTCTAGCAGTTCATCCCGGGGATACTCCTTCAGAGTTTGATAAGCATACTCTCTGTCATCAAACACTAGCAGATATAAATACACAACCTCATCAAGATCCATCCTTCCCAGCAACAAGCCAAGATGGCTTCCCTGTGCAGCCACTTCTGGTCAGGACTGGCCTTGGTGTAATGTCAGGGCTCCCGGGTATGACCAGAGGTGTGTGACTGACGCAGGGAAACGCAGACTTCAGATATGTTATAAACAAATATAATTTTATGAACACTAACAATACAAACATAAACGTAGTGCAATACTAAAACATAACACAGTGCAAACAAACCCAACCAACCACCCACAGATAACAGTACATACAATGCAAGCGTCGTCAGGCAGGCCGGGTCAATATCAATGGGCAGGGAGGTACAGGGGGAGCAAGCGGAGAATGGTCGGGGTCACAGGCCAGGTTCAGCAGGTAGCGGGCAGCGTGGTACAGAGGGTCAGGCAGAGGGATGGTCAGGGTCACAAGCCAGGGATCAGAACAGGAGAAGTCAGCAGAGGTCAGAATCAAGCAGGGTCAGCAACAAGACAGGAACAGGAACGCAGGTTTACAAGATACAGGGCCCAGGAAAAAACACACACCAAGGCAGAGTATGCAGGTCTGGCCATCCCTTAAATACACCAGTATAATTAGTTCCAGGTGTTTGACTGGCTGCAAGGTTGAGTCTCTGATTGCTGGGAGCACCCGCTGGCCAGCCCTGGTACTGCAGCTCATAAGGCAGGTGAGTCCCACTATTGCTGGCCAGTCCATTCCTGACACCCCACTGGAAAAAGATTCATGACTTCATATTCAAACTCACTGAAGTTCAATTGGGGGATGGTTATGCAGCCTATCTGTTTCACTTAACTCCTACATCATCCAAACGTTACAGAAGGTTACTGCCAATGCAGTTACTTAATTCTGCCAAGATCCACTAAGTGTTTGGTTACACAAAATTGAGGAAATTTACAGAATGGAAGATATTCTTACCCCTTACAGAGAGGAGAAATTTCACAAAACATGGTTCTGCTGGACCAACTATACCTTCTCCACAAGTTATATTGAAGACCTCGTCACCTGAACCTGGCCAGCCTATGGCCTCTCCTCTCAATGCCTACATGGTGTTTTGAAGTCACCTCTGCTTGCAAGGGCCTTGTATGGGACCCTTAGGGTCAGGCCCCTGCTTGCACTTTTCCCACCCCTTTGTCCCCCCCCCCTTTCTCCCCTTGTTTTTTTTTTCTTTTCCCTACACTGGAGGTCCACAATTGTTGCTTTATAAATAAGTGGAAAGCTAACCCAGTTGGTGAAAAAAGCGGCCCCTGCTCTTTTGGTTGTTGGGATTCCTCTGGAAATAGTTTGATGTACTCCAATACATTTCTCTGAAATCTACAGCTATGTTCCAGGGTAGCCTTGGTGTTTGTTTTTTCTTTTTGCACTATTAGTAATGGGGGTTTCCCCTGAAGTCAACTTGACTTGTTTCAGCTGGTATCCATATACTGTATTTTTCTAAAGACTTTAAAGGTTCTAGCACAGTATCAACATCCCTAATTGGCTTTACAAAAAAAGCAAGGGCTACCACAGGTGTTAATGAGCCCTATGGAATAAATATTGTATGGCAATGATTTTCAAGTAAGTATAATTATGTAGGCCAACACTACCAATAAGTTATATGAAGAACAAAGAAAACTTACCTTTTGTACTTGCCACATTTACTTCTTCAGCAACATTGTTCTTTTATCTGTTTTACACATTTGTCCTGTTCTGTACCTGCTGCCCTGTGCCTACTTTTAGTTGCCACACTTACTGCTATCTGCCCACCAACTGCCACATAGAAAAGGTTATATGGTGCAATGATAGGGCGTAATATCTACCTCAAAGGCTTATAATACTCAACAAGACAAACAATCAACCAACCAAATATTAATGATAAAAGCAGATATAGTAACCATAAAGTGCATTAAGAGTTGTACATGAGGACTAAAAGCTGTACAGCAATAAAGTTACAATCCTAAGTATACAATAAGTCCAAGGAAGATTCCATAGGAAGTCCATATTCATAGACAAATATACACATGAAATAGGCAACCTACCAGCCAGCCTGCAACAAACCAAATTGTCCTGCCTAATAGTTCACATTAAAACCAGGGGTTTAGTTTGCACATATTTGCAAGTACATGCATAAGCTTCAGAAGCCACGTCACGGCACCCCTGTATTATCTGCAGTCCTAACTCTATAAATTTTCCAAATCTCCATAGCAGGAGCACATATATATCAATACAAACAAATGGCAACTGCCCCAACCTATAACTGGCCTTTGCAGCAAGGAGCACAAGGAAGGGCGATGCATGCCAAACAACACATTTGGAAATACATGCGTAAACTGCAGAGTCCACGTCATGGCACCCCAGTATTATCTGTAGTCCTAACTCTATCAATTTTGAGAGCCTCCATAGTAGAAGCACATGTATACAAAATGGATAGATTGAGGGCAGTTATGCCTTCACCAAAAAGGCATTTGAGCTATGAATTTGTAGTTTCTTCTTGCAAAATAAATAACCTTGTTTAATAGCTGCTGAAATAAACCAAATGATAAAATAACTTATTGGTTTCAGTCTTAGTAGACTGATAAATGTACTCAAAGCACAATCTCTGTGCTTAACTTAAAAAGAAGAAGCACAGCCTTCTAATGCAGCGAGTATCATATGACCTATTTCAAGCACATACAAAAAAGTATAAATCATTTTACAAGGTTTTAAAAATTGTAACACACACGGATAAAATAATTTTTATCAAGCTGATCAGATTCATCTTTATAAAATCCCATAAATTATGATGTTCCTAGATTTGGAGCCCTAGGAGGCTGATGTATTGTTGTAGTTGGTTGTTTGAACCCATCAAAACTATCAGGTGACCAATATCCATCTCTACGGTTACTTTTATTTATTTTGCACAAATCTGGATTAAAAAACCCCCAGCTAATTTAATACATAGCCTAAAGCTGCAAGTAAAAGACCTACAAGTATGTCTCTAAACATAAATCATTGACTGGGCACTAATCCGAAGGGAGACATGCTAAAGAGGCATGTATGAATTTGCCAGTGTATTTATAATTTCTTATCTGAAGAGTAATATTACAACTTGTTTCCTATAACTTCTTTATAACTTACAACTTTTTTTTAACATCAGGCTATTTTAATTTTTATTTAATTTTTCTTTTAATTGGATAACTGCCGAACTGCCCTTTAACAAGCCTTGCACAAGTCTGTCATATAGAAAGTGTGAAAAGCTACTGATTTTGCCAAGTAAAACATCTGGTTTTTGAAGGTCAAGTTTTATACCATTCTCTGCCAGCCTTCAAATTTCATATGCTAATGTCTGTCTGTATAGTGTAAGCTTGTGTCTTGGTTTTGCAGTGTGTGTTTTGAGATAGTAAATACTCAGCATCTTTTAAATGCCATATTACTCACCATTGGTCACCATTATTTTGAATTTAGTGGACCACCTGATGGAAGCTCACTCTGTCAGCTAGGAATCTGCCTGGCTATATTAGGAGTATTTGCTATATGGTTTCTGCGAGGGTTTGTAAAGTTTAGTAAAATTGGACTTAAAAACACTTATGTCTGTCTGTATGTATAAATATATGAACATGGATAAAAAAATATAGCATACTGGCAATGAAATGAATAGCTCTGTATATGCCATCATCGACTGCACATACCACACATTAATGGTGATGCTAAATAATGCTCTTACATTTTGGTCCTGACCTATTTCACTGTCATACCTTATATCAGGCATCACTAAATGGTGGATTGCGGTCCGAATACGGACCAAGTGACAGTCCTGTGTGGACCGCGGCCACACCACTTAGCAGTCTGAGTTCAACAGCAGTGCCTACAATGACAGCAGCAGATGAGTACATATAGAACAGGAGTCCACCTAGCCATTCCTCCTGCCCTCCACAATTTGTTAAGGTATAGGGAAAATTATGCAGTAGAGGGGGCTGTGATATCAGAGGGGGGATCTGTGATAAGGGGGGCTGTGAGATTGGGGAACTGTGATATGGGGGAGCTGTGATGTTGGGGGGGGGGCTGTGAGAGGGGGACGCTGTGATATGGGGGTGCTGTTAGAGGGGGGAGCTGTGATATAGGAGGCTGTGAAGTGAGGGGGGTGCTGTGATGTGGGGGGCTGTGAAGTGAGAGGAGGGAGCTGTGATATGGGGGGCTCTGAAGTGAGAGGAGGTAGCTGTGATATGGGGGGCTGTGAAGTGAGGCGGGAGAGCTGTGATATGGGGGACTGAAGTGA